GAGGGGGACTAGGCCAAGCCCTATACCATCTTAAAACTGATTCGATCCTTACTAGTTCACCACCTAGATCAGCAATACAATTCATGAATGATCGAGTTTTAAAACACTGCTTAAGTATATTTTGATGAGTAAAATATTAATTAATTCATCTCCTTAGTGTATTTGATATTAACTAGTTCATCTCCTAGGTGTGTTGTGTGTGTGTGTGCTTGTGTGTATGTGTGTATTCTATGTTCTTGTGGGAGCATTTCTTTTATCACTCTTGGTGATGTAGAAGTATTTTTAGGACCCCAAACTTTTTTGGGATCAACCTCACCAAAAGGAATTTAGAAAAACAATCAAGTTTTGGATAATAATATCTATGAGAACTCAAAATCTTTTTCTTTTTTTAAATTGGGTGATTCTTAGGTGGCTCTCAAAATTTCACATTGAAAGAACATAGTAAGTAGTTCCCAAAATTTCAAAATGAAAGAATCCAACAGAGCAGCTCTTTTACCTAAAAAAAATACCACCTTCCATTTCCCAATATGAAAGAGAAAATTAGTTCTTTTACCTGAAGGAGTAAGTGTATAATATGCTATCCCGAAGCGTGCACGCACACACGCATACACATGCATCCTACCTTAATCTAACTCAATTTGGTTATTTTCGGGTCGACTAAATTCACCTTCTCGTCCACATCCAAACCCGTGTCAAATAGAACCGCTAGCAACCCAACCCACCGTTGGCCATAAAACTAAAACGCAAGAGAATGCTAAAGCCGGACCATAAAAGATAATTTATCTTTTCTTTTTTTGCTATAAAAAAAATACTTTTTTTGAAGAACTACATGACTTTATTAAAGCAAACTAATGATAACGTTGCAATCTTAAACAATCCAATTAAGTAAATCGAAAAAATGGTTAAAAACAAGTATATCTATAAATATATTAAAATCTTGAGAATGTACGGTCAAGATAATGTTTTGCAAGATACATTATTTATGAAACTATATTTTTTTATATATATTCATATATTTCGATGCCGAGATGATCAATTAGAAGGTTTTTGAATATTAAAATAACATTTTCAAATGGATTTTTTAGGTGCATATTTAATTCTACATTTTAAGTTGCACATTTATTTCCTATAAAAATAGAGCAAATCTACCATCAAAAGTTACTGGAAGCCGTGACCAAGATACATAAGGATAGAAAAAGTATACAAAGAGACCTTTTACTTTTGAAAAAGTATTTGGTGAGTCAGCCGGCTCATTAATTCTTGTGCAATCTCCCTCTGAAATATTTATTAAAGATGTTTTTATCCGAAAGTTTAAGGTTTGATAATCTCAACCACAACAATGATTTAGATTTGAATTTTTTTTTCGAGAAATACAAATATTATTTTTTTAAATTCCTTTTTCCAACGTTCGTTTTAACTTTTAGTGCATATAACATTTTTTGACATCCACCTTGAAGATGGACGTTTGATACACAAGAGACCACACAGTAATAGGTGAGTCGGCTGACTCACCAAAACCATGTCTTTTACTTGTAGTACAATAAGGTTACAATCAATCTTGTCTATCAAATTTCAAATTAGATGGTTGTATGTATGTCATTAAGGATGCTCAAAGTTTACCAAAAAAAAAAAAATCTTCAATATTACCACACATCTCAAGCCATCTTATTTCACATCTAAAAGTTAGGAGTGTTTGTGGCCTCTTTATATCAATGGTAAATAGTCACATAAAATACAATCCTATAAAAAAAAAATCTTAAGCCATAAAGATAAATACATCTTATGCTACGTCCAAATAAAGGGGCACAGACATTGTTCCACTTTTTGTTCATTTTTTTAGCCCAAAAGCAAATTTTAAGGTCCTTGGAATAATAGCTCTGCCATGTTCAAACCGTAGATCTTGTCTCATTTAAGTTTGGAAAGTACTCCTATGTGCCAAGATGATACATCTACCCACCCTTAAGGAGTTAGATTATCAATTGGAATAGAGGGTTCCAATTGAACTTGAGGCGTAAGGTAATGATCCCCTTTGTACAAGTTTCTTTATGTCAATGAAATATCAGTTAATATTATCAAAAAAAGATTAAAAAAAAAAATATATCTCGTAAAATCAACTTTCTACACATTTTATTTTATATATTTTTTGTATTATACTCAAAACCCCAACATTATTTTTTCTTGTATTTACCGTCAATCAAAAAGTCAATGAATTATGGGACAAAATTGCCCTTTTTCTCTTTCTTCTCCTTTTATCTCTCTTTTTTTCTCTACCTTTATACACCAGTCCTCTCTCTTTCTCTCTCAACTTGTTTCTCTCTTTTTCTCTACCCTCCCTCACTCTTTCTCTCTTTGCCCTTCCTCACTTGTTCTCTCTCTATTTTTTTATGTGGTTTGGCACACTCAGTGCCTGACTGAATTGTTTTTTGTGGTCCAACACACTCGTTGCCAGATTAAATTTTTTTTTTGTAGTATGGCACGCTCCTTGTCGGACCAAATTTTTTTTTTGTTCAATGCAATACAAAAACGTGCCGAACCGTAAAAACCTTTCAGTTCGGCAAGGAGTGTGTCAGACCGTATTATAAGCAAGGGAGAAATTACTAGAATTTGAACAATCCGATAAGAAGTGTGCCAAACTGCATAACAAAAATAGAGAACGAGAGTGAGGGAGGGTAGAAAGAGAGAAACAACGACGAAAGATAGAGAGAAAAAAAGTGAGGGAGGATAGAGAGAGATAGAGAGGGAAACAAGTAGAGAGAAAGAAAATGGAGAGAGAAAGAAAAAAAAAAGGTAAAAAAAAAAAAGAAGAGAAAAATGATAATTTTGTGCCAAACCTCATTGACCATTTGATTAGAAGTTAAATACATCAAAAAATAATATTAATGTTTAGAATATAATACAAAAAATATTAAAGATAAGATGGGTAAAAAGTTGATTTTGAAAGTATCTATAATTTTTTTAAACATCGATCTGAAATGAGCCTATAGGTTGGTTCACAATCAATGAATCCACCGTCAAAAAAATAATAAAATTAGAGAAGATATCCAAATATCCAATACACGTGCTTCTCCCGTGGTTTGGCAATTAATCAGTGGGTCCATATGTCAAGACGCAAGTTATAAAAACCATCATGATCGTAAGGTTGTCACCATTCCATCGAGTTGAACCAATGATTTAAAAAGCGAAAAGTCGGCACGGAATCTCCGACCGGGCAATCTGGTATCCATTCCGATTAATGCGTATATGTCTAGAACAAGATCAACAACTTTGCATCGTAAAACAACAATTTTTTATAATAAAATGGCAATACGAACCCGCTGATTTATCGATCCGGACTGATTTTAAGTCAGTTCACTGTGTTTTCTAAATCAGCATTCTCGATTGCCGATTCACCAATTCGGACCGATTTTTAGAGTGCCTCATCTAGACCGCCAATCTATTTTTTAAATCAGAGTTAGACAATAGTTATATGCTATTCCTATGAATATAGCTACTACCAAAGACATTTAACATTGCTAAATTAAGGAATTATATAATATGAGACTATTTATGTTTGTTACAAAGAAGTTCCAATTATTCTTAGGCCCTAACCATCCCATGTCAAACGGATAGCTTAAGGTATTTCATACAGTTTAAGAATTTTGTTTTTGAACTTTGAATTTATTCAATAACACTTACAACCGCCTGATTTGAAATCCGATGGACAAGAACGATTGTATAAGTGTTGCAAGAATCGGTTCTCTCGTTTCAAAGGTCCAATGTAAATCAGGAAATATATAACTTGCAAAAACAAATTTTTTGTGCATAATTCCTATAAATAAAAAAAAATTTTCACTAATTCATAGCTTTCTAATAAACTAAATGAGAAAGAGAGATGGAAGGTCAGTTCTCATGAAGAATGCATCTATCAAGCTAAGGGGAATGTCATATAGATCTCCGTTCAACATTGTTAGGGTGTATTACGGTTTTGAACTGTCCACTTTCAACTAAAAACATTTCCTTTTCTGTCTTCCCCCTTAAGTATCGTCCATTTCCCAACAATCTCCTTGCCCTCTTTTCCCACAGACTTGGCGTACAACATCATCATCATCGCCAAAACTTTTTTCCAACTAATTGGGACAAGCGATAAACTCAATGAACATGTGTACATCATCATCGTCAAAACTTTTTTCCAACTAATTGGGACAGGCAATAAACTCAATGTACATGTGTACATCATCATCATCGTCTTCAAAACCTTTTTCCAACTAATTGGGACCGACAATAAACTCATTGTTTGAGAAGAGCCAAATAGCCACCATTCCTAATGCTGCAAAGAGTTTCATGATGCTGTCAATGGTCACGAAAACACCACCACCCAACATGACACCAAACCCTAAACTACCCCTCAAGCTGAACTATCAAACATCTCCACAACTAATGAATTGAGCTTGAACCAAACTTGGTTTTACACATGCTGATGATACAGACCGCATTTATTGATTTCGCCTCTTGGAGGTAAATAAGTTAGAATACTAGAAAGCATGATCAACAATTTAAGGGGAGAGCGATAAGGGACTAAATACATCAAGAACCAACAAAAGGACAACCTATATTTTAGGTGATATCCAAAATGTATTAAAAATATCAACCAGTATTTCAAAAGAGAAAGTTACCAGTATCTTTATTTTGAACTGAAATTGGAAAAAAGATGGAAGGATCCACAACCTCAAATATTACTCGATGCTTTTGTAAGGATGGAAGGATCCAGTATGCTTTTGCCGAAATAGAGAGAGAGAGAGAGAGAGAGAGGCAGGGAGGTGGTTCATGCAAGGGAGGATGAATGCATACACTAAAAGGAAGTGACATATTGCATTAGAGTGAGAGAAACGGGAGTTTGGGGGATAAAATGCAAGATTGGAAGTTCTTTCTATTGCTGCCTTGAGGAAGACGAGATTGTAGTGTTTTTGGTGTTCGTTATGCAAGGTACAACCAGAGAAAAGGGTTAAATGACATTTAAAGAATGCAAAAAAAACTACAATACACCACTGCATTTAAAATATCATTCTACAAACTTGGTGCAATTCAGACCAAAACTAAATCTTCAACATATTATCACAATATTATCAAAAAGAACATCTCACAAGAAACAAACCAAGTTTAGGTTTAGCTAATCTAATACTATAGCTCAAATGAAAATTTAAGAGGGAAAAAACCTGGGCAACAAAATTGTTTATCAAGCATTCGATCACAATCCACATGATAAGGAAGAGAGAAAATTCACGGTTATAGGGAGGTGCTGAGCCCAAATACCAGACAGAAAGCTAGAAAAGCTCAAAGCCTCCTCCCTCGTCGTCCACCCTTTCTACGCGTGCTATCAGTGGGAATAGGAGTCACATCCTCTGCAAAATACATCATAAACCACATACATAATCATTCACAGTTAAGCAATGGAAAATACGTGATATCAAAGCATAGATAAAAACAAAGTGCATTAAGCCACGTCTTCGGGCATATTAAAGAACTAATAAACAAATTTTTTACCCTTAAAATTTTAATTTAAATTATTGTTCTTATATATATATATATATATAGAGAGAGAGAGAGAGAGGAGGGAGAGAGTTTCTCTCATACAAGGTTCTCTCTTGAAATATTAATACAGGTTATATTTAAAGTAATAAAACTTTTCTTGCATAAGCTATAAAAAAGCCAAGCCAAATTTTCAAAATTCTAGTTGGCCAAGGGATCAAGGGAATAATATATACAACTGTCACAATCAATAAAAAAGATAATTCAAATCAGTGTTACAAAGATTAATGATTTGGAATGGAAATCGCTGATCGAGAACAGGAATCACCCAAGAATGATCTGATTATTGGGTTGAATCGGCAATTTAACTAAATATATAACTTCTACTAAAGATGTTAAAAGGTTTGCTGGTTGTTAGCTCACTCAAACCTTGTGCCAGAGGTTCGAACCCCACAACATGCTCCCTTTGATATAGAGATACTAGTAATATTTATATTCCTCAAAGGCTTTAGAAAGGGGAGGATTCAAACATATGACCTTGCACTAACAACTGCACATTCTACCTCAACATCTCATCTCAGTTGTAATATAGTATATATGATGTATTATATATCTCAGTTTTTTGTCTTCTTTTAGAGAAAAATAAATCTGGATTGTGGATCCGGATGGCCATTTCCGCCGATCAGGATTGGGATGGGTTGGTGGAAGATCCACCCCACCTATTTGTCTTTTTTTAAAAACATTGAATGAAATAAAATGTACAAAAGTTTCAAAATTTTCTCGTTCAAGGTGTCTTAAGAAATCAACCATAATTGTCAAAATCTTGTTGCTCTTGGCTTGGTTTGGGTTGAGTTGCTAAACCTAAAGACATCAGGCAATTCACCCGAAGCCAAAACAATTTCAGAACATTGGCGAGCACACACCAACCATTACCAATAATGAATGATGGAGATTAAATGTACCCAGATGATTATCTACCATTGGGAAATAAACTTCACTATCCATTATCGGAATGGGCACTGCATGCCACTCTCATATGCCATATATAGTACACTACCATTATAGCACAAGTAAATAAATATTTAATAGTACAACCAATGTTATGAACTTCACTTCGCTTTGTGAATCGCCCGAAGTGGTTGGGTTTGGTGACTCCATCAAGCAAAGGGAAGGGAAATTTCAGTTGACTTCTTTATTGACAGCTTGTACAAGTTTGAAAAATTTTCTACTTTTTTTTTTAACATAGCTTGTATTAATCATGACTACCTTAACCAACCAAAATTTTCAAAATTTTAGCTGACTACTTTATAGCTTGTACCCTAAAAGTTTTGTAGGTTCTCTTAAAATGCAAACTATATTGATTGTGACATGCCATATGTACACATAGGTACCTTGTTTTGGGGGAATGAGTTCTATACTGTAGACATATCTTGCACTCCAAATATTTTCAGAGAGAAGGCCATACATGGGAGAAAATTATCTCCCTCTCTGTTTCTCTCTATCTGAATCAAATGATAATAATTGAAATTAAAATATAAGCATTAAAAGAATTTAAATTTTTTAAAAATAAAATTCATAAAAAACTTACGTTTTAATTTCCTTTAGGAAAATGTTTATATAAGGCTGCAACCTTACTTGGAGAATTAAGGTTATAATGTCCATTTTAATTGGAATGCATAGATTTGATATTGCACTAAAAGACGTGTCACTTTTTGACATTGTCTTAAAAGGTGTGCAAAATGTACACCGTCCAACTAAACGAGATAGTGTAGAACACCGCAACCTTACTTCTACAAGGTTGTCACATTATATAAATGTCACCCTTTGTTTCATATCTTATAATTTCTTCTAGGATTGTGCTTGTATTATTTAATTTTCCGAAGCACCGAAGCATTTCCCGTTTTGGGATAAGATGAAGATGCCCCGGAAGCGAATCTGATTAATAATGGTATGACTTTGCTGTAGAACACAATCCAAAAGTACTTAATTAGACTATTCACCATTGTGGTATGATACTAGATCATCACATAAATGATAAGGCGGTAAAAAAACCCTAGAAAACTTTGAGCTTCTCATATTTCCCTGGCATTTTAAAAAATGAATCGGGGGGATGGATTGTCCACCCACCAATCCTGATCCCGATCAGAGATCCTGCAAATTTTTTTTAAAAGAAAACAAAATTATTAAAATAAAATATATAATATACAGTGTATAATTTTTAACAAACAAGTAGAAATGTCGATTTGGCTAGTTCATGAGCTTGGGGTGGCAAGGTCATAGGTTCTGATCCAACCATTATTTTATGTCTTAAAAGAAAAAGTCATATAAGTATCTATTTGGGTGCATGGTTTTCCTTGTTTTTTAGATGGATCATCAAAACACTCCATTGGTTACTGACATGCAATAGATTCACGACTAGCAGTAATAGAAGAGACTTCCTAAAAGTTTAGAGAGGAAAGGACCATTACCAATGCGACCAATCCTCATTCCAGATCTAGCAAGGGCTCTAAGAGCAGACTGAGCCCCAGGACCAGGTGTCTTTGTCTTGTTGCCTCCAGTAGCTCGGAGCTTGATATGAAGAGCAGTAATGCCAAGTTCCTAAACAAATACAAAGCTTAACACGAATGACCCATTATAACACACACAAACACATGTTGGGGAATCATAGAGTTTTCACACTGGCAGGATACGTGGCTCACATTTCCCACTTGTAGTATGAAAACGATACTCTTGTTTTGGATGATAAATACTCAATTGATGAGAAACATATGTTTCATGTTGAAGAGCTCTAAGATAATTATACACAATAAGTTTCACTAGAATAGGAGTTTCTTTTCATTGATAGAGTACCTTACATTAATGACCAAATTGATGTACATGTTATACAGCCTTTACAGAGGTTAGGATTTTCTATACAAGTACGGGCGGTGAAAGAATCAAAATCACTGGCCAGATATTTTAGGACTCCATCTTTGGCCAGCCCACTACCTCCACTAGATTAAGAGTTTGTTATTGAGGAGATCAACCAGAAAAGTATTACAATTCGCATTTTACAAACCAGTAAGAGAAGAAAACTAAAATTCCAAACACAGACTAATAAAAATTAAAACAGAATATAGAAAAGTCATGCACAAGTACCAAAAGACAAATCTGATGGCTCAAAATGTTCTTAGTTTGGTTTTCTCAGGCACCAGAAGTGGTATGGTTAGACAAAAAGGAATATTCCAAGCTAAGCTATGCCACACAGCCCCAAACTTAGAGATTATCAACCTTCCCAAATTCACAAGAAATATCATCATGCAGATGACCAACTAATGCATATTCGTATTTAATGAAGGAAGATAAGAAACAAGAAAAAGAAAAAGCTAAACAAAACAAATTTTAAGTAGGCTGTATAGGTCCAAAATGCAACCTAATTATGTAAAAATTATAAACATTTAGAGAGAAAAAAAAAGGACTATACCTTGCATCTTTGGGCAACATCTTGTGCAGCAAGCATAGCCGCATAAGGGGAAGACTCATCCCTATCAGCTTTTACCTTCATGCCACCTGTGGAATGAAAAAGACTAAAACCCACTACATGCTCCATTTTTTTATTATTTGTTATTCACATTGATATAAATTAAAAGAAATACCAAAGCAACCATCCACTTATCTCTAAATTAGATTATTTCATACCGGTAATTCGTACAAGAGTTTCTCTCCCAGACAAATCTGTGACATGCTGCATTTCCGATAAAGGAATCACTGGTTAATAACCTAAATGATGTCATATCACATATTTGTTTTTGAAAAACAGAAAATCATTAAGAACTTACCACAAACGTGTCATTGAATGAGGCAAATATGTGAGCCACACCAAAAACGTATTCACCTTCTCGAACAGTTGGTCCTAGAGTGACATTTTCCTCCTTGGGCTCCCTGGTCTTCTTTCTACCCGACTGACATGAGTACATTTCGTGTTAGGAGACACCATGAGAACAATATTGAAATAAGAGGGAAGTATATCCCTTGAATCGAGAGTCACCCAAAAATCAGTTTGTAGAACAAATAAATCTTAGCTAACTAGTTTTCATCATCAAAGTGTTAGTGGCTTCAAACAAATTAAATGAATAAATAGCCAGCTTTCTTCTTGGCCAGCTGCTTATGAAAGAGAAGAGTGAGGCCTTCTATAGAAAGAATAGAATCTAATAGGCTCTGCCCTGCCAAAAAGCAGTGAAAGAAGAAGGTTAGACAAAAACTCCTCACAAGTTTATTACTGTAACACTCATATCATTAGCCAGGACCTAAAGATCTCCTCAGCATTGTGACTAGAATTAACACTCATTCTCAAAATTGCAATTTAAGGAGAATATGACAACACAATAACACATTTTTTTAAAAAGAAATAGTGCAATTTGAAGAGTTCCAAACCATTTTGAGAAAAACTCTAAAGCTGAATAAAAAGGTATAGGCTGACCCTTGCCCACTGGCATAGACTAAATACAACTCTAATAGTCATTTAGAAAAACATACAAAAATATTTAGGCCTTTAAAAAATGGAAGTTGATTTTCAAAATCTTGAAACTGCCACAGATTTCCCCATTAAGATGATACCATAGACTGGTCACATGGACAAAACCAAATGCGGACATGAAAGTATCTGAGCACATAGTCAAGCTGCTCCCATGCTAACATGACCGAATGGCTTTCGTAAGCATTAGTCTTTGAGACTCAACACCATACAAAATATAGTGGTAACCAGCACTGAATGCAACCAATTCAAAACAACAAGAACACCCATACAAGCCAATATCATGTCATTACAAACAATTTAGAAAGAAAAATTACACACCCAAAATAAATATAACAATTATTGAACGTTCAGAAAGACTTTTCCAGTTAAAATCTAAATGTTTACTGTTTTGAAGCACGAAGGTGAAGGTAACAAACTAATGGTCAAATTTCTTTCATTATTCCAAACAGTATGGATATCACATTTTGAGAAAACCCATAATTATCCAGATTAAAGTTGAGTATAATTTTTGAAAATTTGCAACAAATGAACAATTTAGGATATATTGCGACTCCTGACCTGCATTCCAAAAACAGTGATGGTACTAATTTGTTTATCAACAATCCCTTTCCAAAACCAAGTTTAGATGCTACATTAGTCAATATTGGCTTCTTTTTCAAGTATTTTCTCATAAGGCTTATCTTTCCAACCAACTACTTCTCTCAACCCACATCTATTCCATATCAATATGCCTTACTAAACACCATGGATGAAATTAATGCCTACTGCCTTAGATAGCTTTGCTATTTAAAATAGGAGTTCCCACTTAGTTTTATTTCTGGTTATGCGAAATAATGAGAGGAAACACAAGATTTTTTTGACAGATCTCTAACATGAAGGAGCAAATACAAAAGCCTTAAATATGCAATACGCATTCTCTGCACTAACCAATATGAGGCTTTCTCGAAGCAAGCAGCAGTCGATCTCATAAAAACAGTTTCACTCTCTGGAATACAAGCAGAAACCAATCACATAGAATATGTTTCTCTCTCTAAATTGGCCATCACTAAACTAAGAGAAGGAACATTACGTTTTGCGTCCACAGATTTAAGAAATTGAAAAGATAACACACGCGGAGACATTAAAATCTAGAGATTGCAAAACAAGATAAAACTGCAAAGCCACAAACTAGAGAGAGAAACTTGGGTTGCTTGACTGTATCATCTCACATGCTTAAACAATTTAAATGTGTACAAGAACAAATCAGTTTACCGTGAAGAAAACGCATAGGCATCAAAACTTGGAGATGAAATGATGCAATGAACAGAGAGAGAAAGAGCTCGCAAACACCAAAACATGGAGCTATAAAAACAAGAAGAGACTATAATGGAGAGAGAGAGAGAGAGAGAGAGAGCGAAACCATGATTGCAGAGACTGTTGGAACGAACAAACTGCCCCTCCTCTTCGAGGTACTCCCCTGAGGCGAGCTCAAAGCACCAACACGATGGAGACGAGAGTCCAGGTCGCAAACCCTAACTTGGGCTTTGCTGCTTATAGGAGGGGTAGGATAGAGTACTCCCCCGGGAGCAGATTGTACGTTTACTCCCTCGGGAAAAGAGAATTTTCTCACTCCAGATACTTTCAAAAATAAATTGGATAATTAAAAAACAAAAACAAAAACCCTTGATTTTTGGTTCCTCACCCGTTAAACCTCCAAAAATTTTAGGTCTCTTTGAATCTCAGGATGTTAAATTTTACAGGCATGTTTATTGGCACACAAAAAAATTTCCATTTTACATTGGTCCCGGTTACATTTCAAAATTTGAGATATTAAAATATAGTTTGGGACATTTACTGAAATACTTATTAGAGAACATTTTGCTTAGGAAAAATGTTTCATGCCAGCTGGACCGCATGACTACATAGATGAAAGTAAGTGTTCCATCTAAAAACGATTGAAACTAATGGTCCAAATATTTTTTTACTAGATTTATTATTTCTAGTTTTTAAATTTTACTTATTTTTCATATTCGTGATCTCCATGTTAGAGATTACATGTCCTTAAAAGTTAAATAAAAAAATCCATCTAAAAAATAGATTTATTAATAGGCCCACATTTTTACATATGCGGGCTTGGCCGCATAGAAACCCGGCCCTTTTACTTATATACTTTGATTTAATTTCAAAATGCGTACAAAAATACATGATGTGAGTTGGAATAGCAGCACATGTATAAATGTTAAATAATGCATCTCTCATAGATAGTTTGACAAATTTCCCACATAATTTTATCCTTATTAGGGATTGTCTATTTGTAGACCATTTACCTTTTGTACAAAGAAGTCCCAACTATTGCCGCTCATTAGATGTTAAATTAGATGGTTTGGGACGAGTCACAAAGTTCGAGAATTCAGTTATTTAAAATAAATTAAAATTTATTAAATAGTTTGAAGCATTTTTTAGAAAAATAGAGAACAAAGCAAAAAGACATTTAAAATTGGTGAAAAATGAACAAAAAAAAAACAAAAATTCACCATAGTACAATGTAGAAAAAAAAACCCGACATAATATATTTTTTAAGAAATTTACTTTTTTAAAAAATTTACTTTTTTAAAAAAGTTGAGTCATTCTTTTATAAAAATGGAAAAATTTTAAAAAAAATCATTCAATTTCATTAAAATTAGAGAAACGGTCGACATAAAAATATCTGAACCCTTCTTAGGCACGACTTAGAACAAAAAAATAAAAATAAAAAATTCAAAATAAACTCTATAAAACATTGTATTTCTCAAAGATTCAGCCGCCTTTTTAGGAAAACATAGAACTGAGGCAAGAAAAATACATCCTGTTCCTATAAAAACAATATGCCAAATTTTGATGATCCTATGGCTTCTATATCATAATCCCTAAAGATAGATATAATCCATGGTTGGTATTATCTTCTGCTTGGAGCAAAGAGGGCATCAAGAAGTCAAGGATGAGGGGAAAAGCCGGAAAAACGAGGCGGTGTCTGTGAGGGGGTTCGAACCCTCAACATAATGGCGAGGAACCACGCATTCCACTCAGGAAACCATTTGAATGCTTACCTAATCTACCCTTTCTTCTTGAATTTTTCATCCCACATCTCTCTCGACATCTGCCCTTTCTCCATTCCCCTCTCTCTATCCGCCGACGCCCCTTGCCCCCATTTTTTCAAGGAAGATGCAAAAAAGCAAGACCCGCAAGCTAGATTTCTCTCATTCTACTCGTCACTTTAAACTCCTCATCTTTGTGCAAAAATTTCGAGCTCCAAGTCAAAATGCTCCAGTACTTAACAGTGTTCGTAAAATCGAATGCTCCAGTACTTAACAGTGTTCGTAAAATCGAATCGGAACGGTTAATCGAATATGGGTATGGAAGCGGTTTAAGCGGCTTAACTGGTAAATCGGCTGATTTAACCGCTATAACCGAGCAAATCCTAGACCGTCAAAAATGTTAAAAAAATAAAATAAAAAATACAAAAAAAAAAATCTATTAAAATATGAAAAGTATATAAAGAATGATTAAAACAAAACACATTCAAATGAAATTGAAAATTAATGAAAAAATGGATTTTAACCTATCTTATATTTTCCAAGGGCTATTTTTAAAATTTTCTTAAAAAGATGATAAAATATAAAAGTGATTATTAATGAACAAAACAATTTTTAATCTTTACCATAATGTAAATAATATTTAAAAATGCATTACAAATCAAATTCCTTATTTTTGAGAATTTATATATATTTTTTAAGTTTTTTTTAAATACCGGTTGATCACCCTAACCGCTCAAAACTGGAACCGGCCAGTAGCCGGTTCCGATCTAACCGGGCGGTTCACGGTTAGATCGGGCGATTTTGCAAACAATGCTTGAGAAGATCCATATATGAAAATCCTTAATCACTCGGTATGCTACTTTGAAAAAGGCTTGTTTGCATTGACATAAGATGACGGATGTAATCTATTACTGGCGTAATACATTACTGTTGTTTGAATGCCTGGAAATATATTGACTGTGAAATATATTACTAGCGTAATAGCAAATAGATTATTACTGTTTGGGTAGTATTTAGATGGAATATTGGGAAATACATTGCTACTGTTTTGTTGTCTAGAAGAAATATGAGAAATGTATTACTAATATTTTACTAGCACTTGCCTATAAACTATCATTTTTTTCTTTTTTGTCACAAAATTCCACTGAAATGCAGAATTAAAATCATCATCACATCATTAAAAAAGATTTTCTAATAATAACATCATCACCATTCCAAAAAGGTTTTCTAATAATAACTTGTACCATTCTAGAGTCATTATGACCTCATTTCCTACTTATGCATGCATTTGACACTTACATGGAATCACATCTCTTCTAACACGATTAGACTTTGGTTTCAACATGATAATTCATTGGAATAACATGATTTATTGTGATGAACCTTATTTTTATTTATTTTTTATAG